CTTTCTTTATATCCTAAAGCATCTTCCTGAATTTTTTTCCTTCTTGCTGAAATAGTTCCTCCAAGAAAATTTCCAAGGTCTTGCATGCATAAGAGTATCCTTGTTTTGACTTTTTTACATGATACTTAATTTTTTTTAAAAAAAGATTTTATTTATTTATTTATTTATTTATTCATTCATTCATAAGAGACAAGAGACATGGAGACACAGGCAGAGGGAGAAGCAGGCTCCCTGCAAGGAGCCTGATGCAGGACTCAAACTCAGGACCCCAGGTTCAGGTCCTGAATTAAAGGCAGACACTCAACCACTGAGCCACCCAGGCATCCCTACATGACACTTGAAATATAAAATTCTAGATTCAAAGTTTTATCTTTTATTATTTGAAAATATCGGGGATCCCTGGGTGGCGCAGCGGTTTGGCGCCTGCCTTTGGCCCAGGGCGCGATCCTGGAGACCTGGAATCGAATCCCACGTCAGGCTCCCGGTGCATGGAGCCTGCTTCTCCCTCCGCCTGTGTCTCTGCCTCTCTCTCTCTCTCTGTGACTATCATAAGTAAAAAAAAGAAAAAAAGAAAAAAAAAGAAAATATCATTATACTTTCTTCTGTAGTCATTACTACTATTGAACAATCAGATTTATTCATTCAATTATTACTTATTAAAGAGGCGGGGGCAAGATGGCAAAAGAGTAGGGTCCCCAAGTCACCTGTCCCCACCAAATTACCTAGATAACCTTCAGATCATCCTGAAAATCTACGAATTTGACCTGAGATTTAAAGAGAAAACAGCTGGAATGCTACAGTGAGAATTATTACTTATTAAAGGGCCACAAAATGCCAGGCACTGTTTTTGACACTGGAGATTTAGCATTGAACTTTGCTTTGTGGTGATCTGTTTTGTCTCTGGAAGGTTTTTAAATTTCTTCTTTGTTATTTTTTGTGAAAGAGATCATCAAGAGTGACTAACTGCCAGGGTGGCTCAGCAGTTTAGTGCCTGCCTTCTGCCCAGGGTGTGATCCCAGGGTCCCAGGATCAAATCCCACATCAGGCTCCCTGCATGGATTCTGCTTCTCCATCTGCCTGTGTCTCTCCCTCTCTCTCTGTATCATCTATGAATAAATAAATAAAATCTTAAAAAAAAAGAGTGACTGACTGCCAGTTGACCTGTGAGCTAGACCCACGCAATGGGAAGCCCCTTACCCTCTCTCCTACCCTTAGAAATGTATGTGCTGCCCAGCATTTCCAAAGTAGGGGTAATTTGGGAGATGCAGCTTTGAGAGAGTAATGTGTTATTGAGACTATGTGGATTGAATATGTCACTGTACTCAGTTAAAGCCTCTAGAGAAACTTTAAAGATCTTGGTGGTTGGGTGCAGAGATCAACTTGTCTTATAGCCACTTAAGAGAACCTGGTAGGGGCATCTGGATGGCTCAGTCAGTTGGGTGTCTGCCTTCAGCTCAGGTCATGATCTCAGGGTCATGATCTCAGGGTCCTGGGACTGAGACTCACATCAGGCTCCCGGCTCAGGGGGTAGTTGGCTTCTCCCTCTCCCTCTGTCATTCAACACTTCCCACCCCTCCTTGTGCTTTCTGACTCTCTCTACCTCTCTGTCAAATAAATAAATAAAATCTTTAAAAAGAGAGACAGGGAGAGAACTTGGTACGTAAGTTCCCTTATTAAAACTACTGCCTACCAACCTAGAATAGTCTGTCTTTTTCTTTAAGTCTCTCCTTGCCTTCCATGTATAAGGGCCAGTTTCAAAGTTCACCTAGGGAACTCCCACGGTTGCAAATGAATATTTATGTGGTTAGATTTTATTATAATATGTGGTATCTTTGTTTTTTAAGATTTTATTTATTTGTTCATGAGAGACGGGGGGGGCACAGACACAGGCAGAGGGAGAAGCAGGCTCCACGCAGGGAGCCCAACGTGGGACTCCATCCCGGGTCTCCAGGATCACACCCTGGACTGAAGGCAGCACTGAACCACTGAGCCACTCAGGCTGCCCTAATATGTGGTATCTTTTCATATTTTTCCCATTTGACTTTCTAGGAGCACTTTCCATTTAAGTTCTTTAGCTTCCATTTCTCCATAATTCTTGGTTATTATTCCTTAAAATATTTTATCTGTTTATTCTTTCTTTCCTTCTCGGACTCTCATTTTATAAACAACTAGTCAGTCTCCATGTTGCTTAACATTTCTTTCATATTTTTCAGCTTTTAGCCCTTTCTGATATCTTATGGAAGAGTAGAATCCAGCTTTAAAATTCAGTCTGGTTTCACACATTCTGCTACTCAATAAAATATTGAATATTTCAATCATTTATTTTTCACACATGGTTTTGTTTTATGAAAAGTTCTTGCTAAATATTTCTGTCCTCCTTTATCTCTTTTAGGCTAGCTTTTAAAAAAAATCCATATATTTTATCCTAAACAGTCCTCTAATTCTGCTTTATCTGTTATAGGCTGTTCAGTTTATTTTCTCTTTATAGCAATAGAATTCTTCAGACATTTTTTTTTTCCCTGCAAGCCCATACTCTCTAGGCTCAGGTTATGAGCTGGTAATACAGGAAGTGAAGGGAACCAAGCCCTGGAATGTTTCCTATTCTTCTTCAACTCACCAGGAAGGGCTCAAGCTATAGATCATACATTTGTTTGTGGAAACAGCAAATGGTACTTAGGGGGATTTGAGTTATTTTAAAAGCAGAGAATCTATGGCATTAAAATTTGGGCAAAGACCACTCCCCATTTACCACTCTCTTCCTACCAGATGATCTTATCCCTCAGAGAACTTCTCTATCTCTACCTCTTTTTTTTTTTTACAGTTATCACCTGGCTCAGTGTGCGTGTGCGTGTGTGTGTATGTGTCAGGATGGGAGAAAACTAAATAAAACCCTTTGAGGTAGATATGCTTGCCTCTATTAATATCCACTCTTCTCCCAGCCCAGCTCTAGAGCTATCCTGTACAATGATGAAGGAGTGGGCAAATGTGGGAGTAGATGGAAAAGAATACAAGAAAACACAAAAAAGCACCCACACTCCCTATAGCTTCTCCCTGCAGTCTTCTTGTAGCATCTGTCTTCCATTTGTGTTGCCATTCCCTCCCCACCTACACACACACACGCACACACACACACACACATACAGGACCAAGTGTAATCATCTATCTTCTAGAGGATTTCCAATCATTTTTTCAATAGTTTCTCAATCCAACAGACTTGTCACTTCCAAGGGATATTCAGGTTGGGTTCTGAGGAAGGAGCTAGCCATTTATGTTAGCATGCTGTATTAGTAATCTTTTCTTTGCATGGCAATATTACTATATACTTAACGGCTCAAAACAGCATACACTTATTATCACACAATATCTGCAAGGGAGGTCTGAGCACAACTTAGCTGGCTCCTCTATAGCTAGCTATTAAGGTGTCAGCCAGGACTGGGTTCTCATGTGAAGATTCTTACCAGCAAGGATCCAAGCACCACTTCCAAGCACCAGGGGGTTGTTGACAGGGTTTAGGTTCTTGCTGACTATTGGCTGAAGACTACCTAAAGTTCCGTGTCATGTGGTCCCCCAACATCAACCCTTGCTTTATCAGAGCCAGCAATGAGTCTCCTACCAACAATTAGAATCATGCCATCATGTCACCTTTGTTGTGTTCAATTGTTTAACAATGAGCCATAGGTCTTACACTCAAGAGGGGATTCCACAAGACTGTGAATAATGGGAGCTACATCAAGATAATGGGAGCCAGAGAAGGGGTGCCTTCTTATGGGGACTAAAAATCATCTTCCCCCAAAGTTTTTGAAAGTCATTTCAAAAGTTTTAATCAATAAAGTAACATTATATTCCTGCTTTAGAATGATCACTGGCCAGAAAGTGTGGAGAACAGATGGGTGGGAAAGAAAACTTGAGTTAGGGAAATCACTTAGGGGACTGCGAGGGTAACCCTAGTGAAATGGTTGTGGCCAGAAAACAAGGTAATGCCAGTGGGTGCAAAGATGGACCAATTGGACAGTTGTTTAAAAATATAACAGGGGATCCCTGGGTGGCTCAGCGGTTTAGCGCCTGCCTTCGGCCCAGGGCGTAATCCTGGAGTCCGGGGATCGAGTCCCACGTCGGGCTCCCTGCATGGAGCCTGCTTCTCCCTCTGCCCGTGTCTCTGCCTCTCTCTCTCTCTGTCTCTCATGAATAAATAAATAAAATCTTAAAAAAAAAAACCAAAAATATAACAAATAGGACTTGGAGATAAATAGTGAAAAAGAAAAGTTGAGGATATTCAGGTTCTGGCTTTTGCAAATGAGTTTGCGGACAGTGAAAATCATTCACTGAGAAGAGTTAGGGCAGTTTGGATGTTTTAGAGTTTGGGGCGGGTGGGTTCGTGCAAGACCATAATTAGAGACTAACTATGCTCCGTTGAACCAACAGCCTCTTTTGATAAATTTAGATTAATTTTTATGGCTGCAAAGAATCTGCTGCTCCAATCTGCTGAAACTGGCTGAGTCTTTTCAACTCATCTATCTCACACGGGTTAATTTTCAGTATTAGAAAGCGGTGTATGGATGGATGCACGAGCATCGGTTTGGGTACACATCCCGCTGCTCCCAAAAATACACCTTTCAGGTTGTTTGAAGGCAAAGGATGAGTTTGGGGAGGACAGAAAGATGGGAAAAGCCATATACTCTAATAGATCTTATAGTTGAGTCATTAGGGTCGAACTCCTCAGCAACGCTAAGCACGGAGCTGCAGTCCCACGAGTAGACAAAGCGCGGGTACCAGCACCGACCCGACTCCGTGCCTCTGGGGTTCGCGCTCTCCCTTGGGTGAATCCGACACCGGCGATGCGGCCCGATACTCTCGCGAGAGGGAAGGAGCCCACAGCTCCTTCGATTCTCCCAACCGCGCCACGTGTGCTCCCACCTGCGGAGAAACGGAGTCTGGCAACGCCCAGGGGCTTCTGGGATTCGTAGTTCCGGGCCTGGCGGAGGCCTGCCAGCCTTGCCCCTCTCCTTCTTACGCATGCGCGACTCCGAGCTGGCCCAAGAAGTTCGTAGCCTTTGTCAGGCCCGGGATGGGAGGTGAGTTGGACGTTCCCATGGCGCTCTTCTCCGCTCAGACTAGATGGTGGCCCCCTGGGGCATCAGGTCGTGCCGAGTCGGGGCTGGAGTGCGCGTTTGTGGAAGGGGCCTCGAGGGCGGACCACGAGCACCATCTCTTTGCGCCCCGGCCCGAATCTGTCTCGCGGCTGCCGCCTCCCCGGGACGCGGGTGCGAGCGCGGTGCCGGCGGCGGCGCGACCGGCGGGGCGCGGGGCCGGCGCGGGGCTTCGGGGGAGAGCCCGGAGCGCAGCGGGGTTTGTCTGCGCGCCGGGTACCTTGCAGCCGCTCGGTGCCCCCAGGGACAGCTGCAAGCGGCAGGGACAGGCACCTGGCACCGAGCCTCAGGGATGCTGTCCCCGGGTTTTCAGGTTCCAGCCTCGTAGCACCGAGCCAGGCTCGAGAGTGAAGAAGGAGCCCGACCGCACCTGATTGAAGCCTCCCAGCAGAGCCCCCGGAGGGAAGGCAGGACGGAGGACGACGAGGAGCTTCTCACCATTCCGCTCGGACAAGTCTGAACTGGGGAGGGGGGAGATCAGAATATTCAGAACCGGGAGCAGGTGGTGATCATGGAGACCGACATGCTCGAGAAGACAGGTAAGAGTTGCTCAAGTGTTGAACTTGTGCGAAATTCTTCCCTCTTGGAGGGAAATCAGTTGCCTCACAGGAGGTGGCTCTTGGCGGAGAGTGCTGTCCGTCTCCTTTGTCTGGGGGACCGAAGGGCTCTTTGAGAGAGAGAGCGTGAAGGGCTTGGTGTGGGATCCACCCCCCTTGCCTCTCCAGCTGGGCGCACAATAGACCCTTCAAAGCCACCCCTCAGATGCGAGCGGAATGTTAGCTTCTAAGGCGTGAGCGTAGCCTTGATTACTTTTTCTCTCACGTTCTTCCTCCCAGATGATTATACCATCCTAGCCTCCAATCGTGAGCCTGAGAATTTAGCTTTTTGGTTGGCAAAAAAAAAAAAAAAAAAAAAAAATTCCGCACCTTTTACGCCACTTTGTGCAATAACCATATGATTTCAACAAACAAATACTTTTTTGTGTTACATAGGAGGAAATAGGCCCAGAAATCGGTGGCTGACTTCCAGTTCTACTAGAGCAGTCTTTGTTGAAGTTTGGTCTGTGACCTCCTCCGTCAGAATTACCTTCCTGGGCGCCTGTTAGATTTCTAGATTGCACCGCAGACTCAATGATAATTATTTGGAGGTGGGATAGAGCAGTCTTCTTTTAAATAGCTTGGAGGGTGATTTTTGAAAACTCTTGAGCCTGTTTTTCTGATGTGTACATTAAGCGCAGGGAGAGTTCAGTATTTCTCAGGGAGAAAACTTGGTTTGATTTCTAGATCAGAGAGTGCCATCTTCCAGAATGTGTTATAATTATAGCAACTGAGTGAATATAAGTCCTGAGTAGCAATACTTCTGGACATTCTCCACGATCCTGGATCCTGGGTTGTTTGAGGACTCCCTTTCATTAATGTTTGTAGGTGGGGACGATTTGAGACTTGTAAATATTAGTCACAAGATGGATCTAGGCCCCATCATTACTGCTTTTTTGCTCTTAGCTCTGTCTTCCCAGGATTCTCCCTTTTCCCAAGAACAGAGCACAGAAGAGGGAGAAGTGGCATCTCTGCGCCTCACAGCTAGATCCCAGGTAAGTGTGAGTCTACTGATTATTGAAAATACTCCCTTATTTCTCGGGGTACAGATGCACTCCCTTGTTTGTTTGTTTGTTTTTGCCTTGTTTTTTTTAAAGATTTTATTTATTTATACATGAGAGACACAGAGAGGCAGAGACACAGGCAGAGGGAGAAGCAGGCTCCCTGTGAGGAACCTGGTGAAGGACTCAATCCCAGGACCCCGGGATCACAACCTGAGTCAAAGGGAGATATTCAACCACTGAGCCACCCAGGCGCCCCACACTCCCTTGCTTTTGATGTCGAGTTTCTTTGTCCACTAGAGCCCATTTAGAGAGCTGGGTTCCAGTTCTAAGAGACTATTTGGTTATCTGATGGACTCAGTAGAAAATGTCTTCTACTTACCCATAGTACCTTCTGCGCCTAGGATTTATTGTCATTCGGTAGGTGGGGCATATGTAGAAAGCATTGCCCTTCTTTGAACTTCTATGCTTATTTCTGTGCTTGAATAACATAGGAGACTGTTTTAAAAGAAAATGTGGTACGTACCTATTAAAATAGATGTTTGTGGGGGATCCCTGGGTGGCGCAGCGGTTTAGCGCCTGCCTTTGGCCCAGGGCGCGATCCTGGCGACCCAGGATCGAATCCCACGTTGGGCTCCCAATGCATGGAGCCTGCTTCTCCCTCTGCCTGTGTCTCTGCCTCTCTCTCTCTCTCTCTCTCTCTCTCTATCATAAATAAATAAAATAAATTAAAAAAATTAAAAAAAAATAAAATAGATGTTTGTCTAGGGGAGACAACAGACATATGACTGTTAAAATAGAAATTTAAGAAAGCGCATTAAATGCTGGAGTGAATTAATGAAAAGCACTCAAATAGTTCAAAAAGTGCTAGAAAGGGAAAGCCTATGGAAGGTTTAATTTAAAGAGTAAGAATCCAGCCCTCCAAGATGATGAATGCTGAAGTATTTTAGAGGTGAAGATTAAGTCTGCAGCTTATTTTCCAATCCTCCTCTCCCCAAGAGAATATATCAAGAATTGTTGAATTTGAGTGGTGGTTGTTCTATATGGGTGAATAGTGTGTTAGTCTCTCAACTTTTTGTGTATTTGAAAATTTTTATTAAAACAAATTGGGGGGGGGGGAATCCCTGGGTAGCGCAGCGGTTTGGCGCCTGCCTTTGGCCCAGGGCACGATCCTGGAGACCCAGGATCGAATCCCACGTCGGGCTCCCGGTGCATGGAGCCTGCTTCTCCCTCTGCCTGTGTCTCTGCCTCTCTCTCTCTCTCTCTCTCTCTCTCTCTCTCTGTGACTATCATAAATATGTAAAAATTAAAAAAAAAATTTTAAAACAAATTGGGGGCAGCCCAGGTGGCTCAGCAGTTTAGCTCCGCCTTCAGCTCAGGTCTTGATCCTGGAGACCCAGGATCGAGTTCCACATTGGGCTCCCTGCATGGAGCCTGCTTCTCCGCCTGTGTCTCTGCCTCTCTCTCGCATGCTCTGTGTCTCTCGTGAATAAATAAACAAAATCTTAAAAAAAAAAAAAAGAATTATTAAAAAAAAAAAGTTGGGTAGAAGAGAACTCTCCATAATGTGTGTGGCATACCTCAATTAGCCTTTCTTTTTGCTGCTGTAATGCAGAGCGTAAAAAGTAGACATAGCACATTGGTACTGTTTGAAAAGTGACTTCTCAGGATCCTTTTTAAAGTTTTTTATTTATTTAAGCAATCTCCACACCCAACATCGGGCTCAAACTCACGACCCCAACATCAAGAATCTTGCGCGCTCTTACTAAGCCAGCCAGGCACGCCTTCTCAGGATCCTTATATACTTGCTTATTTTCATTGGTTTCTCAACTACCTTACATGAGTATTAGAGACTGTCTTAGTCAAGAAATTTTAAGTTGCAGCTCAAGAAAATTCACACTGGCTAAAGCAGAAAGAGTTATTGACTAATGTAAGTGAAAAATCCAGGTGTCCCTAGAAATAGAACCCAGTCAGCTATATTAGAACCTATTCTCTCCATTTCATGGACTTTTTTTTTCTCTCATTAGATTTTGCTCTCAAGCAGGCTTTTTGCCCTTGTGCATGTTCTTAATAAATTTTGGCATACATCTTCCCATGTTGAAGACCAGGGGAAAAAGACATCTTCTCTCCTAGTCATTCCAGCCCAAGTCCTGGAATTAACTCTTTGACGGCCATTAGGTGCATTCTGGTACCACTATTGGCCAAATATAGTGGTAATTCTCTGATTAATTGGTTCAATCTAGGGAGTTTACCTGCACATACTCCTACAAACACACATCCCACCCATAAGTCGGGGATGGCATTAGTACTACCTGAACTGTACTAACAGTAGCCAAGTGTAGCAGCCAGAGGAAAATCAAGGTATGAATACTGGAGGAAGGGTGAACGCTTTCTACATTTCAGCATTTGAAAATGGATTTAAGACTGTTGGGGCGCCTGGATGGCTCAGCGATTGAGCATCTGCCTTCTTCTTAGGGTGTGATCCCCAGTCTGGGGATTGAGTGCCACATCCGGGCTCCCTGTGAGGAGCCTGCTTCTCCCTCTGCCTATGTCTCTGCCTCTCTCTCTCTCTCTCTCATGAATAAATAAATATAATCTTAAAAAAAATAAAAGACTGTCATAGCTTTGGGGTAGATTAAACCTTTTATAGAAATTTAAAAACTGTCTTTGGTAATGCATTAGTGCATTAGATTTTGTTTGATGGTAACAACTATCTTTCTTATAGGAATTTGCCTGGGCTTTTTTCCTTTTCTTCATTTAGCTTTATCTTATTAGATTTTTTAGGATATTAAAGTTTTAAAACAGGGGACACCTGGGTGAGTCAGCGGTTGAGCATCTGCCTTTGGCTCAGGGCATGATCTCGGATTCCTGGGGTTCGAGCCCTGCATTTTGCTCCTTGCATGAAGCCTGCTCCTCCCTCTGCCTGTGTCTCTGCCCCCCTCTCTCTGTGTGTGTCTCTCATGAATAAATGAATAAAATCTTAAAAAATAAATAAATAAAACTTGCTCACTATAACTAGGTGAATAGCACAGACATACATAAAGAGAAAGATAATATTACCTACCTCCCACAAATTCAGTCCTTCACCTCTCCCTACTGAGGATAACAGTTTGTTGTATATCTCTTTCCACTTCCCTCTCACCCCCAACTTTGGGATTTTTGTTTAAGTGTCCTTTCTGTAAATAGGATGTGGCAAAAAAAAAAAAAAAAAAAAACCTCAACCAAAAAAACACCTTTTTATAAGATGAATTATTTAATTCACAGTAATTACTTGTATGTTTCAAGTTTTTCTTGCCATGTGATTTTTATAGTTCTGTTTATTATGCTTTCTTTATATCTTCTTTTGTTTTCTGGCTTTTGTGCAATAGTTTACATTTTTGTTCATTTTTTTCTTTTAGTGGTTTGGAAATTAATTCCTATTGAGTGTCATTTTTGCAGATTGTAGGATCGAGGTCATTTTTTCCCTCCTAATATCTTTTCTACTTAGTGACTACTTTATGATTTTTATAATTTATTTTCCAAGGATGATTCTTACTTTTTGATTCTTGTTACATAAATCTCAGATTATTTCCACTTTGGGCATTTTATTTTGAAATTATTTAGACTTAAAGAAATGTTGTAAATAGTAAAAAGATGTTTCACGTACTCTCCATTTTAGATCCTCCAAAAGTTAACATTTATCTTACTTATAATTTATTATGGCTTTTATATATTTTGTGTTATATAAACTTAATACTATGTTTACACATGAATGTTTAAAAGTTGTATCTGGGGGATCCCTGGGTGGCGCAGCGGTTTGGCGCCTGCCTTTGGCCCAGGGCGCGATCCTGGAGACCCGGGATCGAGTCCCACATCGGGCTCCCGGTGCATGGAGCCTGCTTCTCCCTCTGCCTGTGTCTCTGCCTCTCTCTCTCTCTCTCTCTCTGTGACTATCATAAATAAATAAATAAATAAATAAATAAATAAATAAATAAATAAATAATTTAAAAAAATAAAAAATAAAAGTTGTATCTGTACCTTCAATTAATTTGCTCCTGTCCAGTTTAATGCTTTTTACTTTGAATTCCGTGTTTAACTGGATTTGGTACTTCCTGCCAGTCTTTTCATTCCATGACTTCTTCATTTGCAAGTTCTGTATTTCAATTCATCTTCTGATTGGTTAAATCAACTCACAGGGAGAATTATACAAACATGCCTTTTTCCTCTGCCCACATTGTTTACTGTGCCAAACTGCATTATTGACTCTTTGGTTCGTGTTTTAACTCTTTATTCCCCTGAAAAATGATAGTCTCAATGGAGAAGCACCATAGTCTTACTTTTTTCAGTTCTCATGCTGAATTCAGGACAGTATGCCTGGCACATAATTGGCAGCCAGTGACTTCATAGAGTATTCCAAATCCGAATACATTAGAATGCTTGTCATTTATCAGTCATTTCCCATCCGAGGTATATGTCTTATGCATCTACTCTAGGGGCAGCAGAAACTAGGGGGGTGAAATTGAGTCTGTTGAGAGATGGTGAACAAAAGTATGTTTGTGTCTTAGGCACCAGTGACATTCAAGGATGTGGCCATGGACTTTACCCCAGAGGAGTGGGGGAAGCTGGATCCTGCACAAAGGGAGGTGATGCTGGAGAACTATAGGAACCTGGTTTCGCTTTGTAAGGATGGGTTCCCTTATGACTCTGGAATCTACTTACGGGGACATCATTACTTTATTGGAAGTGAAATAGCTTAAAAACCTTCACATTTGCATTCAGAAATCAAAAAATATTGATCCCTTCGGGCCCAGAGAAAATCTGTTTCTGCCCTAAGTTCTTGGTAAACTGTCTATGCTTGTTTTGTATCAAAATTCTTTGGATTCAAATGATAGAAACCTAATTCACACTGACAGGGGATAAAAATTTTGTTTTAAGCAATCATGTGTATTGACAGAAATTTCCTTTATTTATTTTTTAATCATGTGGCTTGGCTTTGCCCTGTATTAGCCTTATTCTTAGGATCTCCCCATGTGGCAGAGATGGCCATTGGCAGCTCTAAGGTTACACAATTCTTCCAGTTAGAGTGCTTTCTGGCCATGTGGATTTTGTGCTCACCTTTGTGTCAGGGGTGTGTGCGTGTGTGCTCGCATGTATGGTTTCATAGGGCAGTGGAAGGAACAATGTTAACTTCTCCCAGTGATACTTACACATGAACATTTATAAATTATATGAGTATCCTTAATTTGTTACCGTCATTTGCCTTGAATTAATTTTGTGCTTATGTAATCAATTCCCTAAGAAAGTGGGTTCTGATACCTAAAGAAGGAAGAAAGGGTAAAACCATTAGAAGACAAAAACTAGTCACCATAGTCATCATTTTTTGGTGCTGCCACTGAGGCCCCACTTTTTCCGTTTTTTCCTATGCTAAGGACTCACCTGCAGTGTCTCCCTGGAACTTCCTTGATAGAGAAATAAAGAGAAATTCTCTCTCTCTCTCTTTTAAAGTAAGCTCTACACTCAGTGTGAGACTTGAACTCATGACCCTGAGGTCTAGTCACATGCTCCGTGGACCCAGCCAGCCAGGTGCCCTGGGATATTCTCTTCCTTTCTGACAGACAAAAACATTTGCCTTTACCAATGCATGTAAGCTCCTTAACCAGACCCAGGCTCTTGCTGCAGGTATTTTAAGCTTCATTCAGAGACCCATCCTCCCTTATTCTTGATCTTCCTATAATATCCTATCTTTGTAGAACACAGATTTGGGTCTGCTGTAGAAAGATCATTGTGCCCATCACAAATAGTTAAGTCCTTTCTTTTTGTTATTGTTCTTTCTTTTTTTAAATGAGCAGGGCTTCCAGTCTCCAAACCTGACAACTACAATTTGGAGAATGGAAAAGAACCGTTGATGCTTGAGAGGAAAACCCCCAAAAGCAGCTATTCAGGTGAGTCAGATGCATGGGAGTGTTCAGAAATAATAGCCCCCACAGGACAGTGAAAAGATAGTACTTTTCAGTGCTTAACACAGAATGTTAGAAATGCTTTTGTGCTTTTATTTGTTTAAAGGTCTTAGTTTACATGATATAGCATTTTAAATAACATAAAATTTGAGAAGAAAAAGTAACACGTATGTATTCACTGTCAAAATTAAACAAGTGCTATTATTTTGTTTCTTTTGCCTGTGTTTCTTTCATTTGTTTTGCAATATAAAATAAAAATATCATAACTGTGCAGTTTATTTATTCATGAGAGACACAGAGAGGCAGAGACATAGGTAGAGGGAGAAGCAGGCTCCCTGCGGGGAGCCCAATGTGGGACTCAATCCCAGGACCCCAGGGTCATGACCTGAGCAGAAGGTAGACGCTCAACCATGGAGCCACCCAGACGTCCCATAACTGTACAGTTCTGTGAATTTTCACAAATGAACACATTCATGTAACTAGTGCCCAGATCAGGAAGCAACCTTACCAGCCTAGCAGTACTCTTGTCACTTCATTCCTTCCAAGGGTAACCTTATCCTAACTTCTATCACCATAGATTAGTTTTGACTGTTCTTGAACTTCATATAGACAGAACCATACTGTATGTTCTAATGTCTGGCTTTCTTCACTAAACATTACTGTGTCATTACATGTCATTGCATGTAGTTGTTCATTCTCTTTGTTGTACAGTGTTTCATTATGTCAGTATACCGCCTTATCCATCTCTTGAGTTCGGTGTCTGGGCGGTTTCCAGTTTGGGGCTATATGAATAGTGCTGCTATGTATATTCTTTCATATGTTTTCTGGCAAACATACAGGCATACCTTGGAGATAGTGTGGGTTTGGTTTCAGACCACCAGAGTAAAGTAAGTACTGTCAAAGGAAGTCAAATGAATTTTTTGGTTTCCCGTTGTACAGGAAAGTTATTTTTATACTATGCTGTAGCCTATCAAGTATATAATAACCATTATGTCTAAACAAAACCAATGTACCTACCTTAATTAAAACATATTGTTAAAAAAATGCTAACTGTCGGGGTGCCTGGGTGGCTCAGTCAGTTAAGTGTCTGACTCTTGATTTCGGCTCAGGTCGTGATCACAGAGTCATGAGATCGAGCTCCATGTCAGGCTCCAAGCCCTAAGCTCAGCTTGGAGCCTGCTTAAGATTCTCTCTCTCCCTCTGCCCCACCACCACTGTCTCTTGTGCACACTCTCTCTAAAAAAAAAAAAATGTTAACTGTCATCTGAGCTTTCAGCAAGTCATAACCACTGATCACAGATCACCATAATAAATATTATGATCATGAAAAAGTTTAAAAAATTGCAAGTATGTGACACAGACACAAAGTGAGCAAATCCTTAGGAAAATGGAATAGGTAAACTTGCTTGATGCAGGTTTGCTACAAACTTTCAATTTGTAAAACAAAAAACACAGTATCTGCAAAGCATAGTAAAGAACAGAATAAAAGCAAGGTGTGCCTGGGTATGCATTTCTGTTGGATAATACACAGGTAGAATTGTTGGATCCTGGGGTAGGTGCATGTTTACTTTTGGTAGATATTGTCAGACTTCCAAAGTCATTGTCCTGAGTTACAATTATACTCCCACTAGCAGAGTATGTGATTTTGGGAGTTGCTCTGCATCCTCACCAGCACTTAATATTGTCTGATTGCTCCATTGAAGCCATTCTTACAGGTGTGTATCTTTTTAAGAAATAAAAAATGTTGGGGCATCCAGGTGGCTCAGTTGATTAAGTGTGACTCTTGATTTTAGTTCAGGTCATGATCTTAGGGTCGTGGGATCAAGCCCCATGTTGGGCTCTGCAGTCAGTGCAGAGTATGCTTGAGATTCTCTCCTCCCTCTGCTTGGGTTGGGGTAAATCATTGTAATGTGTGTGTATACACACATACATATATGCATGTCAAAGAACAGTAATGTATGTATAGTATTAGGTTATACTTTTTATTTTGTAATCCAGTTTTGTGGTTTTTTTTTTTTTTCAATTTCACATTGTAGGGACACGTGGGTGGCTCAGTCGACTAAACATCTGCCTTTGGCTTGGGTCATGATCCCAGAGATCAAGCCCGAGTCCTGCTCCCTGCTCAGCAGGCAGCCTGCATCTCCCTCTCCCTCTGTGCTGCACTGAAAAGTCTATGTTTATAGACTTTGATTTGTAACACTATCTCTGGTAAACCCTGGTCCTATATATACTTTGGTCTGTTTTTAGGCTTTCTGCTTTGTCTGTCTATGCTGCAATAACACATTGTTTTAAGTATTATACTTTATAGTATGTATATCTCTAAAAGGAAATCTTGCTTTAATATTCTGCTTTTTACAGTCTTCTTCTTCTTTGGAATACTGGGTTTTAAAATCCCTCCTGTGATTATAGATATATCTGTTTCCCCTTGTAGGCTTCTCAGTTTTTGTCAGTTTGACTATTCACCACCCTTCTACCCCTTTTTTGTGGGAGATACTGCCATTTTCTGAATGATCTAGAACTCTTCATACACGAGGCATTGATTCCTTGTCAGACATTTTTTTCTAGTTTTTGCTCTTCAGTTTTGCTCTGCTTATTAATGTACAAATTTAATGCATTACAATCTTCTACATTTCTTTATTTGATTTTTGATTAGTGCTTAGGAAGCTCTCCCTCCAAGATTAAAGAAATATTTGCTTTAGTTCTCTTCTTTATATTTGTCCTTTCATTTTTTAAAAATCCTTAATCCATTTGGAATGGCTGCTTCTCTGGTTGTATCTTCTTAGCTTTCTTTTCTGAACAATTGAATATATGAATCGTTTAAGGCTTGGTTTTAATCTCTCATCCCTATATATACTTGGAATCATAAACTTGAGTGTCTACATGGAAAAGCAGGTAAGATACTTGAGCGAAGCAACCAGGGTAAGCAGGATGGACTGATAAACTAGAAGAACACATGCCTTTAATGAAAGGAGTAGCCATTACTCCGTTAGCTCTAGCTCTAGAGCTGGCACAGTTTTTTATGTAAAAGGCTGGACAGTAAATAACTTAGGCTTTGTAAGACATACGGCCTCTGTTGCAACTACTCAGTCTGCCATGGTAGTGTGGAAAACAATCATAGACGGATCATAAATGAATGGGTATGGTTGTGTTCCAATAAAACTTTATTTTAAAAAAATAGCAAGCTGGGGACACCTGGGTGGCTCAGTGGTTAAGCGTCTGCCTTTGGCTCAGGGCATGATCCCAGAGTTCCGAGATCAAGTCCCACATCAGGCTTCCTGCATGGAGCCTGCTTTTCCCTCTGCCTGTGTCTTTGCCTCCCTGTGTGTTTCTCATGAATAAATAAATAAAATCTTAAATTAAAAAATAGCAAGCTGTAGTTGCCTAATCTTTGGTCCAATTGGTTGTTGTCATTCAGTATGCTTCTAGTTTTTTTCAAGAGAAAACCAAAATTTGAATTTCTTTGTGAAATCTCCCCATTTTTTTTTATCATTTTTTTTATTTTTATTTTAATTTATGATAGTTACAGAGACAGAGAGGCAGAGACACAGGCAGAGGGAGAAGCAGGCTCCATGCATCGGGAGCCCGACATGGGATTCGATCCCGGGTCCCCAGGATCGCGCCCTGTGCCAAAGGCAGGCGCCAAACCACTGCGCCACCCAGGGATCCCCATAAATCTCCCCATTTTTAAATGTTGTCAGTAATCTCAAAAATTTGTATAAACAGTGTGGGCCAAACAAAACAAGCCTGAGGGTCAGATTTGCCCCACTGGTCACCTGTTTGCAGCCTCTGCTTTCTCCCACAACCAAATGGCCATCTCTACCTAGATGGATCCCAAATTTTTATTTCCAGCTGAGATATCTCCTTAGCCTCCTGTTGTAAACATGTGTGTAACTATTTGATGTCTCTGTGTGCTTGTGTTAAAGATACCTCAATACAGCATGTTTAAAACTGATTGCCTGGGGGTTTCTGGGTGGCTGTTAATTAACTCTGTAACTCTTGATTCCTGTTCAGGTCATGATTTCATGGCTGTGAGTTCCTACCCAGTGTGGAACCTGCTTAGGATTCTGCTTCTCTGCCTCCCTCCAACTCACATGTGTTCTCTCTCTCTCTCTTTAAAAATGAAGGGATGCCTGGGTGGCTCAGTTGGTTGAGCATCTGCCTTCAGGGCATGATCCTAGCCTGGGGATCGACTCCCACATCAGGCTCCCTGAAAGGAGCCTGCTTCTACCTCAGTCTACATCTCTGCCTCTCTTTATGTCTCTCATAAATAAATAAAATAATCAATCAATCAATCTTTAAAACAAAAAACAATTACCTGATATATGCCCAAATTCTCTATCCTCCCAGTGGGATCCTTTTCCAATCACTGTCTTTTTTTTTTTTTTTTAAGATTTTATTTGTTTATTCATGAGAGACACAGAGAGAGGAAGAGACACAGGCAGAGGGAGAAGCAGGCCCCATGCAGGGAGCCCGACGTGGGACCTGATCCCGGGACTCCCAGACTATGCCCTGGGTCAAAGGCAGGCGTCAAACCACTGAGCCACCCACAGATCCTCTGCAATCATGGTCTTAATGACACTCACTGTCTTATCAAATTGACAAGCCAGAAATATAAGAAGTTTTTACACTTCCTCTCTCTCCTTTATCCAATTCAACTTTGCATTTATTTAATCATATTGTAGGTATTATTTCATTGATAGCATCCCTCCATCCCACTTTTGTTTGCCTGTAATAATCTCTATTCTACCTTTGTCCCCCAGATTTACACGTCTTTATATCACAGTGAGAGTGATGTTTTCAAAATACAAATCTAATAGTGTCATCCTTTTGCTTAAGACATTCCAGTGTCTTCCCATTGCTCTTAGGATAATAACCAAAATCCTTGAGGCCTACACAGTCTTATAAAATCTGGCTTTTACTCATTCCAACCTAATCTCATACCTATTCTCCCTGTTTTTGTACTTTGGTATCAGAGGCCCAAGTTTAAAATTACTGAGGACCCTAAAGAGCTTTTTTGTTTATATACTTATATTCTATTTATGTTTGGGTTATATTTACTAATACTTGCTGTATTAGAGACGAAAACTGAAAAAAATTTAAGCTATTAAATAATTCATTTAAAAATAATTAAAACCCATTACATGTTAGTACAAATATAATTTATATGAAAACATATTTTCTGCAAAAAAAAATTTATTGACAAGAAGATGTACCACTTTACATTTTTGCAAATCTATATTCTCTCACTCCTGCCTCTGAATACAATTTGTTATGGTATGTTGGTTGGTATGGTATGTTTTTGTTGACTTGTATGAAGGGAATCCAGCCTCATGCCAATATATAGTTGGAAAAGGGAGAAGTATTTTATAGCTTTTTCAGGGAAGTTTGGTTGTTGTGATACTAACCAAAACTGGGCAAGTGTTAGTTTTTGTTTTTTTAAGATTTATTGATTTATTTTAGAGAAAGAACATGCATGCCTGTGAGCAAGGGGAGGGGCAGAGGGAGAGAATCCTCAAATAGACTCCCCACCGAGTACACAGCCCAATTCGGGGTTAAATCCTAGGACTCTGAGATCATAACCTTAGCCAAAATCTAGAGTTGGACACTTAACCAATTGAGCCACCCAGGTACTCTTGGTTAAGTGTTATTAGTTTCTTAAAGATAGATATAATGTGGTATCTGAAACCAAATCCATGAATTTTTCATACTCTTGTTAAAATCTACTGATCTTTTGGAAAATACTGGTTCACCAAGTTGTGCAGATCTTGTAAGTATTGGCATATTATTATATGCAGTATTTTTTAAGTCACAACTTTTAATATCATCACCGATCTTATTTGGAAAATCTTTAAGGATGAAGAAGCTCAAGCTCTTAAGGGCAAATACAGGTTTTCCAAAATCCTAATTTCTGCCCCCAAACTGAAATTTTATTGGATACTGTTGATTATTTTCCTTGAAGTGACAGGCTCATTTTGTTCATTTTTTGAGAAGATATCTTTCAGACACTCAACTTGTATAACGTATTTTATCTGTCATTCTTCCAAGTGAAAATTGTAGTCCATGGAAAAAGCAGCTAATTCAGCTCAAATTATTTTTTTTTTTAAGATTTACTTATTTATTCATGAGACACACACAGAAAGAGGCAGAGACATAGGCAGAGGGAGAAGTAGGCTCCTCACAGAGAGCCTGATATGGGACTCTAACCCGGATCCCAGGATCAGGCCCTGAGCCAAAGGCAGACGCTCAACCACTGAGCCATCCAGGAGTCCCAAGCTCAAAGGATTTCATAAGTGGTTTTCTTCAAGACAACCATCATTCTTTGATTATGAACAGAATTGCTTTATAAATATTTCCTATTTCATTAATTTAGAATTTTAAAAAGTCAAGGCTTGAAATTAATAAAAATGTTTACATTTTTATTTTTTTTTAATTTTTATTTATTTATGATAGTCACACACAGAGAGAGAGAGAGAGAGAGAGAGAGAGAGAGAGAGAGAGAGGCAGAGACATAGGCAGAGGGAGAAGCAGGCTCCATGCACCGGGAGCCCGACGTGGGATTCGATCCGGGGTGTCCAGGATCACGCCCTGGGCCAAAGGCAGGTGCTAAACCGCTGCGCCACCCAGGGATCCCAAATGTTTACATTTTTAAATGAAACTGGCTTTTTTCCCCCCCCTTAACTGAGAGTACATGGCAGGGAGGACTACCACTGCTAGTAAGTTTGTTGTTATTGTCCTGCTTTGTGCTAAGTCATAAGCAGTTTTACATGATTACTTTTGTAACAGTGTAAATGATAAGACAATGAAAGAGGTAAATAACTTTTAAACATTAAATTGAAAATAGTTTTGAACTTCTGGCTTCCCAGGGGTTTATGGACTGCACTTTGAGATTTCTGCCTCTGCCAGTTGTACATCAAATTATTAGCACTTGTGCTGTGTCAGATTTTTTTAGTGGTTTATACTCCTTTAAAGCTTATTAAGGTAGGTGTTGTCATTATTCCGTATGAAGTAGGTACTGTTTTTGCCCATCTTCACATGTAGTGAAAGTGAAATAGATGTTAAATAACTTGTCCCAGGTCACACAGCTGATAAGTGGCAGAGCTGGGATTATATTCATGCATTCTGATTCCATAGTCCATGCTCTCAACCACTATGCTTACCTTGTATGACCTTCTCACCTTGGGATTTTTTTGTTCATATCATTCCCTCTGTGTGAAATGCTCACCTCCATGCTTTTATACCGATTACCTGCAACACTCACCCGAACTCCCAACCCTGCTTTCATTTCAGCTCGATGATTTTACTTCCTCAGAGAAGTCACCCCTCATCTCCCTAGATTTCCATCTTATATTTTTTCATAGTGTCATTTGCCTTTTATTTCTCAATACTTAATTACTACAGGTGCATTTTTATATCCATTTGTGAATATTAGACTGAATTCTCTCTCCACTCGTGCATGTATTTTTCCCCAGTGCCTAGCACAGATCCTAGCATATGGTAGATATTCAGTGGATAGCTGTTGAATAAATGAATAGAAGAGTAGCTTCGTGAAGGAATTGAATTCATTTGGCTGTATAGAATGAGGGACAGATCTAACTTAATTTTCTTCTAAATGTGTAATCAGTTGTCATAGCACAATTTGTTGGAAAACAAATTATCTTTTGTTGACTGAAATATCACCTTTGTATTATTTTAATTGTGTATGCTCTATTTAATTTCTGAAGTTGCTCTTCTGTTTCATTGATCTGTCCATTCCTTTTTTTTTTTAAAGATTTATTTTTATTTATTTATTTATGATAGAGAGAGAGAGAGGCAGAGACACAGGCAGAGGGAGAAGCAGGCTCCATGCCGGGAGCCTGACGCGGGACTCAATCCCGGACTCCAGGATCGCACCCTGGGCCAAAGGCAGGCACAAAACCGCTGAGCCACCCAGGGATCCCCGATCTGTCCATTCCTTTGACCCACCATACTTTTTAAATTATTTTAGCTTCATAAAGTAGTTACATATTAGATATAAAAATTTAATATATTAGATATATTTAGAGAGGTCTAGCTTCCATCCCTGCCCTCTCTATTCTGATACTTCCCCTATTTTTATTAATACATTTTTAAATTAATATTTCATTAGTCCATGCTTGATTTTTGAAAATATAACCAAATATGTACATATATTTGTATCTCCCCCTCCCCATTTTTCTACATAAATAGTATCAAATTATACACACTTGCAGCTTGCTGTTTTTTTAAAAAATTATTTAATGTATAATAGAGATAACTTCATACTTATATAGAGATATTTCTGATTTTTTTAAAGTTGCATAAGACTCCATTTTATGTCTACATCATTGTATATTTAATCAGTTACCTATAACTACCAGACTTTAGCTATCTCAGTGTTATATAATTTCATATATTTGCCATTATAATCTTGGGAGATCATAGAAGATTTTTTATTAGAGATATATTATAAAAACATTGTTAGGGAAGATTAAACTGGAAGTGGAATGCATACTTGGACCTGAGTAGGATTGGATGACTGGAAACCTAGAAATCATAACTGTCCTCTACACTAAAGTGATAGCCAAATATTTAATACAGCAGTAAGTATTCAATTTGTTTCTAACCTCTTCTGATCTGGTGTTCATTTCCTGCTCATCCAGTGATCTATTGCTTCATCTGCATCTCTCCTTGTGTATTACATCTGGTCTTCTTTCCTCTCTTGACTATCCTGAATGAGGTTCACTCATTTTTTCCACATATATTGTGCATTTGTTTCCTTCCATTTGCTTCCCTTTGAAAATCATCTTACAAAGTCAAATCCACTTAATCCTTAAAAGCATGCTTTAGATCTTCATTAGCTATTACAGAACAGTCATTTGTTGACCGCTGAAAGCGAAGGAAATTTGCATGTCCAATTTCTTTCAGACCTGGAATCTAAACCTGAGGGCAAAGATTCAACATCAGTGCCAGATACTTCTAAAGAAGAATCATGCCAGACTGCAATAATAGACAGACTGACAAGAAATAGTGTCTATGACTCCAACTTGGAAACAACTCTTGAATGTGAAAATTGGTTAGAGAGTCAGCAAGGGAATCAGGAAAGACACTTGAGGGAAATGTTCACCCATGTAAATTCACTCCCTGAAGAAAGAGATAATAAGCGTGATATATATTGGAAAAACTTTAGTCAGAAATCTGTTCTCACTCAAGACAGATCTCCCAAAGGACCCTATGTCTTTCATACACTTGAAAAAAGGTTGAAACAGAAATCAAACTTAATGAAAAAGCAAAGAACCTGTAAAGAGAAAAAACCTCATAAATGTAATGATTGTGGTGAACTCTTCACTTACCATTCAGTGCTTATTCGACACCAGAGAGTCCATACTGGAGAGAAGCCCTATAGTTGCAGTGAATGTGGGAAATCATTTAGCCACAGAGCTAATTTAACTAAACATCAGAGAACTCATACTAGAATTCTCTTTGAATGCAGTGAATGCAAGAAAGCCTTCACAGAAAGCTCATCCCTTGCAATACATCAGCGAATTCACATTGGAGAGAGACCTTATGAATGCAATGAATGTGGAAAAGGTTTTAATCGAAGTACACATCTTGTGCAGCATCAGTTGATTCATACTGGAGTGAAGCCTTATGAATGTAATGAATGTGATAAAGCTTTCATTCATTCATCAGCTCTCATTAAACATCAAAGAACTCATACTGGAGAGAAACCCTATAAATGTCAGGAATGCGGGAAGGCCTTCAGCCATTGCTCATCCCTTACTAAACATCAGAGAGTTCATACTGGAGAAAAGCCATATGAATGTAGTGAATGTGGAAAAACCTTTAGTCAGAGCACACATCTTGTTCAGCATCAGAGAATTCATACTGGAGAGAAACCCTATGAGTGTAATGAATGTGGGAAAACCTTCAGCCGGAGCTCAAATTTTGCTAAACATCAAAGAATTCATATTGGAAAGAAACCATACAAATGTAATGAATGTGGAAAAGCCTTCATTCATTCATCAGCTCTTATTCAACACCAGAGAACTCATACTGGAGAGAAGCCGTACAGATGTGATGAATGTGGGAAAAGCTTTAAGTGCAGTTCATCCCTCATCAGACATCAAAGAATTCATACTGAAGAGCAACTCTGAAAAATTACTGAATGTGAAGAAATGTAAGTTGACTTTATCACTGTGTTAAATACCTGAATTTTTTATGGAATACCCATAAAATGCTGCTCAAGGACCAATTCTGTATGTGTCTACTTTTATTTGCATAGCACATAGTTTTGAGCCATAGACAGAATGCTCCTTATATCCATTGATTTGATTATTATGAAAGCTGGTGAGGGATCTCAAATTTTGCTCCCCATCCGTCACCCACCATCACTACCAAGTACCCTTTCATGGAAATTCAAGAAATCCTTGGGAATGGGCAGCAGTATTATATTTGTGAAATTTTATTCCTCCCTCTGTTACATGAAAGCCCTGTTATAGCTTTTCATTCTGTAAGAACAATCTTATTTGTGAAGTTAGGCAGAGGATGCCTATCTTTATCATCAGGAAGACAGAGTTGTTCCTCTTTGGATCCAAAGTAGAGCTCCAGATGAACAGGAAGTGTCATTTTTCCAGAGGTTTTTTTCTTTTACATTAGCTATAAAATGTAAAGGTTAAGACTTGAAATATGCTTTGGGTTCCCTGCTTCCCCAAATGCTCCTGTCTAATTTGATGAACATAAATAGAATGTATTGCAGGTTCTAAGTTATGTTCCCATGGATTATGTTGGTCATAAGTTTAGATAATTGTTAGCCCTCTGCTATGTAGAGTTTCATTTTCTGCTTCCTTGGAATTGCCCTGAAGTTGAGAGTGGGTCAAAGTCTTAACTGTAGTTTTCAATTAAATGCCTCTTTTCTTATCCTTGGCATTGAATGAGTCTTTGGTTTTTTCCATAATCAAAGTATTAGGGAGATTTAATTTCTTTACGTTATCCTGCTTTCTGTAAACTATGCTTTGTCTCTTTGAGAGAAAGTCCCTAAGATGTTGAGGGTCTGAAAAGTTGATAAGTTCAATGTGTTGTTATATTTAGGGTCCCAGTCAAGAAGGAGAACTGAAGCAACTGTGAGACACAAGGACAAACCTTCATGTCAAATATGGAGAATAGTTCACAGGACAGTGACTCACTGGAGGATAAGCAGCTTCCCTCCATGAAGAAGAGGTTGCCATGCCATTTCTCTGGCTTTCATGTCTAACCACATTTTCTGTTGTTATTGTTCTCTCTATATGTTTGTTGGTCTTTCCCAGAGCCCTAAAGAAGGTAGAAAAGGCATGAAACCTCAATGATAAATTGACATAAGTTACATGGGTGACCAAAAATCAGTGGTGGTATTGGAAACATGAAAGCAAACGTTCAAATAAATATTTAACAAAACACTATACAAATGTCATTTTTATTGTTATTCTATTTTATGAAGAGTGTAGAAAAGTTAGAAGGAAAATAGTTATAGAGCTCTAATTTTTCTCCTAAATTCTATCCTTTATGAACATTCAGCAATCAGTCCATACTCTTGCCTTCTCTCCATTATCCCTGTTATTTCTTATAATTCCTTCTGTAAACCTTAGTTGTATTATTGAGGAGAAGTAGAGGAATAGAGTGTCAAGAAGTGGCAGTAGAGGGCAAGATCATTAAGAATAAATGGATTAAATCCAGCCATGGTGGAAATCAAAGAAAATGATAGGAAATGGGGCTGAAAGGACTGGGAAGAGGTTTTGGAAGGAACAAAAAACATGTTGGAGGTGGAGGTGGGTGGGTAGGCTCAGGGTCTAAGAGGTCAGGGTAGGAGGCTGACAGGAACAAGGGAAAGGCACTCGTTCTCGTCACCTTAATACTCCATATTCATGCTCAAAGATAGGAACTGACAGAGTGGCCACCAACCACAACCAAGTCCAGGCTTCTGAGTGTTTCTCTAAATAATGTTTAGTTAGGTCTTGACCAAACTCATTCATTTACATTTGTTTGTGGTACAATGGCTGTGTCCAGTAGATGCAGCAAAGATTGTATGTCCCCAAAAGCCTAGAATGCTTGATGTTTCTCTATATGCCAAACACTTGAGTGAAAATAAATTCATCATTTGGGGGCCAAAATTTGACTTGCAAAATAAGATCCACTTGGCCTTTTCAAAGCCGAGTTTGAATTTTGCCAACCCCACTTAGCATTTATGTGATCTAACTACTTGCCATCTCTAAGTCTCAGGGTCTTTATCTATAAGATGGGAATAAATCATCCCTTTCTCATAAGGTTGTGAGGATTAAATAAGACAATGCATATGAAAGACCTCACACACAGTAAATTAGATAGCCTCTATATGTATATGTATATATTTATGCATATATGTGTACTTTAATGAAATATCAATCCATTTGGGGTGCTACGACAAAATAACTCAGAGTGAGTGACTGAGTGGCTTATAAACAACATTTCCACAGTTCTGGAGACCAACGAGTCTAAGATCAAGGCCTCAGCAGATTCACTGTCTGCTGAGGGCCTGCTCCCTGGTTCAGAGACTGCCGCCATCTTATGTCTTTGCATAGTGAAAGGGTAAGGGGGCTCTAGGGCCTCTTTTATAAGGGCAACTAACCCTATTCCTGAGAATTCTGCTCTCATGACCCATTCAGCCTCTAAAGGTCCTGCCTCCTAATACCATCACTCTGGGGATTCGATTTCAAGATAAATTTGGGGAGATACAAACTCAGTCTGCAATAAGTGGCTAAGTATCAATCAAATAGAAATTACTTAAGAATGAATGTATCTTCTACAGCTTTTGTTTACCGTTCAAGAACTGTCAGCATCCAACTGTCTAGCGCATCATAGAAAAGGGGCTTCTCCTGCTCTTGCTTCTCTCTGGTGCTGCTCCATACACAGCCTCCTTGAGACCTTGGGGAATCTGCTTTTCTCCCTTCATAGTACCACTTAACCAGGAACTATCTGATAGTTTCAGAGACTCAAGTTACTAATCTAATTGCAGTTTAAGTAGTGTTATGAGACTTGGTCTAAGTTAGTTTCACTGGGAACTCTGGCCCTTTACATTTCATTATTTGTTTTGTTTGTGTTTGATGTTCAGTATGGCTGTACTCCAACATGAATCTTGGAAGTTTTAATGTTCTGCTTTTCAAATGTTTTTGGTTACCTACAAACTAAATTTGTTCTTATTGGTCCACTGTCAATAAAGATGTTGTTTATATATTTATTGTCAGAAATTTTGTAAACGACTTATAAAGTTTCCTAATTTAAACATTTTTTAAAGATTTTATTTATTTATTTATGAGAGACAGAGGCAGATACTTAGGCAGAGGGGAGCCTGATATGGGACTTGATGCCAGGACACCAGGATCACAACCTGAGCCAAAGGTGCTCAACCACTGAGCCACCCAGGTTCTCCAAATTCAAGCATATCTTAAGAGGCAAAGATAAACCAACTATAAACTATTTCCATATCATTCAGGGAACCAATCACATTTCTAGTTGTTCATCTGGGCTTCACAACTTCTGAAGACATGGGTTTGGGAATTTCCTCCACAGCCCATGTCTCTGTAAGAAAGTTAAAGAGTAGAAGAAGGTTGTTTCTACCAAATGGTGTTGAGTCTTCAGGTCAAGTGAAGGCATCACTCATTTAAGAGGGGGTAATGGGGAAAAAAGGCACCACTTATTTAGCAGGGGTAACTAAAAAGTACAATTGCAACTAGATAAGATCAGGTTGACTGATTTAGTGTAAATTTTAAATTACATCTGGCTTTTGGGAGGAAAATGTTACATCACCCAAAGTATTAAAACAGTATGCTGTATAAGAACACGAAACAGTATTCAAATTGATAAACAATTGACTAGTTCAATTGTCCGTTAAAAGTTTCTAACAACTTTATTTTCCTAGATGAGTTTTCACTTTTTATCACAACAAGACTCAAGTTGGAAGCTCTTTATCCACACTTTCTCTCTTTCCTTACCTAATTCTTTTTAAGTCCCAATGGGGCAGTCTTGGAATCCAGAACCACAAGCTGTCCCTCACCCTAGCTTTTTTTGGCAATGGGGAAGGGTGTGCCCTTATGGTAATATATATAATATGTTATCTATGGATTACCTTGTAGTTTTAATTGATGCCCTCAAAAAAAAAATCAGATGTTGTCATTGAATTGTTCTTTGTATTTTTTTTACAATGTAACTTGTTATTTTTTAACCTGTTAGTCCATAAACCAGAAAATCTGCCCTTAGATTGAGTTGACTATACATAAAACGTGCATAATTCACTCTCTTCCCTACTCCCTGCCCCATTCACCCATAAACATTACTATAGTGTCAGAAAAGTTCACTTGTCTGAGGAATCAAAGGAATGAAACCAGAGACCCCAGCATTGCTTGATCAAGGGCTGTTTATCTCCATTTCTGTTCTATTTTTTTCTATATGGGCTATATTCTTATAGCATTTCCAAGTTAGTGTGGTTCTAAGCATTTACAATCCCAAGGAGAATATTTCTAAGTAGTCCAGCAAAATCCTCAAGGCTATTTCTCAGCTTTGCTTGAAATCATGCTGATCAATCACTGAACCTTTTACTGCTTTGAATTGGGATCCTGTCATTGACCATGCCTGAGTCCCTGTAAAACCCTGAGTAGGGGCAGGTGAAGCCCATCCCACTCAAACAACTCACATTGCAATGAGGAAGGGCTGCTTCCTTAAAAGAAATCCAAAGATGCTGAGAGGGGAAAACAAACATGTCAACTGCAATTGAATAGCAAACTTTAGCATGAATAAGTCTATACAGTCTACTGCTCCCAATCTGTCTCCCCAAAAGAATTGTTTTCCAAAGATGAGTGACACACTGTTAGAAAAAGGCCTAAATCTAAGAAAACACAACATTGACTTCATAGGATTTCAGTGAGGGTTGCATATGTGAAAATGCTTTGTAAGCTATAAACATGTTGCAGAGTCATATTATTAAGATTATAATTATATATAATAAGCATGTACCTCTCATCAGAATGCCAATTCTGAGTGGTAACTTGTGCCATCATGGGTTGGCAGGGAGTCTTTGCTCAATAGTTATATTCCCAAGGTGATACAGAGCAGCCCCATCTTAAGTGTTCCTTTTGCCATAGCAAAAACATGGCTATTTTATGTAAAGTTGACTCAATTCCCACTCATACGACCCACACATATTATATTGTAGTGATTTAAACTTCCTGGATTATAGGACTTTAATTTGTGAAAACAAACCCATTTAAAGCAAGCTTAGGGGATCCCAGGGTGGCTCAGCGGTTTGGCGCCTGCCTTTGGCCCAGGGTGTGATCCTGGAGACCCGAGATCGAGTCCCACATCAGGCTCCCGGCATAGAGCCTGCTTCTCCCTCTGCCTCTTTCTCTGCCTGCCTCTCTCTCTCTCTCTCTTTCATAAATGAATAAATTTTTTAAAATCTTAAAAAAAAAAAAGCAAGCGTAAACCAAAGGTCTACCATAATTTTAGAGAGTTTAAGAGTTAGACATGGCTTCAGATATGACTGCATTCAGGTGTTCAAAGATGTCATCAGATCTGGTTCTGGCTATGTTAGTTCTTTTTCTCCAGATTGGTTTTATTCCTAGACAGGCAGAATGGCAGAGATGGCCACTGCAGCTTTTGATTTGAGTTACCCTGACAGCTAATTGATTCAAAAGACTATTTATTGTCTGCGGTTCCATTAAAAGTTGCAGGGTAGATTCTGATTGAATGGCTTGGATCACATACCCATCGAACTAATCACTATGGCTAGGGGTTTCCCACAAGAATTGTTACCAGAGGGGGAGAAGGGAAAGTGTACTGAGCAGAAAAAACAAAACAAAACAAAAAAAACCAGCTATCTCAGGATCTAGGCCTCCTCAGTCCAGAACAGAGATTTAACTTACTAATAGAGTACAGAATGAGGGCTGAGGATCTCTGGGTGGCTCAGCAGTTTAGTATCTGCCTTAGGCCCAGGGCGTGATCCTGGAGTCCCGGGATCCAGTCCCACATCAGGCTCCCTGCATGGAGCCTGCTTCTTCCTCTGCCTGTGTTTCTGTCTCTCTCTGTAGATAAGATAATGAATGAATGAATGAATGAATGAATGAATGAATGAATAAATATAAAATCTTTAAAAATAATAATAATGATGAGGGCTTTCTGCCTTCTATAGCCCTGCAAGGAGGAAGATCAAGAAAATAAGTAGTTTAAACATGGATTACCCGACTTGTTTGTCCCTCTTCAGGAATTGAGGTTTTCCTCAGATTAATGGCAACTCAGAAGGGTTGACGAACTTAGCTTTTAATTTCCAGGGATCTTACTTTAAAGGACCTCATGTGCATGTGGACATAAACACCAAGATAGATTTTTAATGCCCACATGGAAAAGGGCAGATTTAAGTGGATTTTAGCACCCTGGTTTCTAAGTCTTTAATTATATCTCCTTTTACATTTAGAGCCATGTATGTGTAACAACTTAGCATGAGTCCCATTCAGTCATATGTGATGGTCATAATTGATGGAGAGGGAAATCATTTTTTTTAAGATTTTATTTATTCATGAGAGACACACAGAGACACAGAGACATAGGCAGAAGGAGAAGCAGGCTCCCTGGAGCCTGATGTGGAACTCGATTCCAGGACCCCAGGATCACAACCTGAGCCAAAGGCAGACGCTCAACCCCTAAGCCACCCAGGCACCCTGGAGAGGGAAATATCCTGAGGTTTACTTGATGGTGGGGGAGTCTGACTACAGCTACTCCCAGATATCCTAAAGTAGTAGGAGTGCTAAGAAGAGGAAGGTTGTATGTGATATGGTCCACCTGAATTTAGATCAGAGAAAGCTCTCCTATATTTTCTCCATCATGTAATTGGATTGTGAGTTTAGCAAACCATGACTATATCATTATCTGTTTTGGCCTTCTCCCTACAACATCAATTCTTGATGATTGCCTGTGTGACCTATTTGTTTTGGGCTGGCAAGAACCTTTTCCTCATCATAATCTGATGAAGTGGCCACCATCTCAAACACTGCTTTTGCCATGCTAGAAGGAGAGGAGGAATGTAAAGGGTCTTGCATTGATGCACTTCATTTCCACTCACAATTTTATTCCCCCAAGCATGTCATGTGTCCCTATCTAACCTCAAGTGAGGACCAGGAATAATCATCTCCTTTGCAGCTCTTTGCAGGAAAGGAAACTTGCTCTCCTGCTCTCCACACATTGTAGAACTAGAAGGTGGTATAGCAACCCTGCATTTTTTAGGCCTTCCTCATCACCCCTCATATATAAACACCTTCTCCAAGCCTCTGACTATACCACTTCTTCCCCCTCTTTGCTACCATCACCTCCTGACTCCCTGCTCACTTCTCCATACTCATTGAGCCTTTTGGTCTCCTATTTTTTTGCAATTCCTCTCAATATCTACACCCAGGATTATTCAGCAAGTACTTCTGAGTGACTACACTATGTGCTGGGCACTCTGTGTTAGGTATGTGCTAGGTGCCAAGGGATAAAATTGAGTCAGATGCAGACTCTGCTCTTAGAGACTTAGCCAAGTCAATAAGCAATCACAGTACGGTGTGATAAGAGCTGTTATACAGGTGAATAAGAGACCATAGAAGTAAAAGGACACCCAACCCAGCCTTTCTTGGTCAGAGAAGTTAGCATCCAAAACACCAGGAAGATGCCATCATAACTGAGTCCCAAGAAAGGGGAATTACATGGTGAAGATAGGTGGGAAGGGGTGATATTGTAGATAGAGGAAGCCATGTCTGAGGTGGAGGGTGATGTATTTCAGGAACTACGTATGGTTTAGCTAATTATGCCTAGAGCTTAGAGAATAAAAGCAACACTGATAACTGAGGATATAATGATCTCAGATCTTGAAGGGTCTTGTAAGTTAATCTGGAGTTAATTCTGGAAAGTATGGATATGGAAGGGAGGGATCAAAAATTTATTGACCTCATTAATGAGGGAACTACCAGGTTAATAAGGCTGATTCAAAGATGCTTACCAGAGATTGTGTATATATAGTCAATGAGGAAAAACATGTTGGGATAAGCTTGCTAAACTAGATACAAACCTGGCTAATGTCCTACAGGGCGATAAAACCACAAACTTTGGAGCTATCTTTTCTACCAAACATAAATCATTTGCGATTTATCACAGTTTGTTTTTAACCAAAAAAAAAAAAAAAAAGCCTCCAGAGTTTGGCCCTACTGAAT